TAACTTATTATAAATTGCACCTAAACTATTGAAAAGTGCAGCTAAACGGTTTTTTTTCTTTTTTGTTTACCGGCATAGGTTTGCTTTCATCTGGTATTTGTGAGTACACATACCGTTATGTAAGTATTCTGCTCGATTAGATGTTTCGTCCTCCCTAAAGAACATTAATAAGTTCTTGGGCCAAGAACATCGTATCATACACAATTTTATGTACAAACTGCATGCCAATCTCGTTAAGCGCATCGTTAACATTAGCCCACTACAACGAATACCCGCTACTTTAACATCATATCGAATGATATTTTCTGCTGCAATGGCATTAATTTCACGTTTAAAGACTGCATAAGATTACATAAGTGCTTGCAAATTATTTAATGGTGATCTCTGTGAGGTAAAATAGTCAAATGTGGGTACGACTAGCACTTATAAATAATGCTTATTATTAGTTTTTTGCAGTAGTCGTCTCATACAGATATTAAAAGGCGATACAGTACGGCAAATCTGTAATGTTTAGCTGAGTTTTTAAGAACATTTGCGCCTCTTTTATTCATTTAAAAGATTTCGGAAGGTTTTAAGCGCTTAGCGCATTATTAGTGGCTTTTATTTACATATACTTATGTATATTTTTAGTTGAAACTAATCGTTCAAATTTGTACTCTTACTCTCTGCGGTTCTTCTCTTATTATATGGCATATATTCTACGATATAATATAATAAGACTTAAATGGTGATTTTAAGTTAAGATAGTGTTGTTTCACTATTGTGCGAAAACATAGTTGATGAAAGAGAGAAAGATAAATATGGTTTGTTCTTATAGGTTACAACATAATATATATTATGATGTGGTCACATAGTCAGGTCGATTAAATAAATCAAATTGCAAAGAGCCAAATTTAATCAGCGTATTGAATATATAAGGTATTAATAAGCATACATAAATTAACAATTCAGTGCATTTTATATGGATATTTATATGTATATATACAAAAGATGTATGGTGTATATGAATGAATATCAGAAATCAATCAATGTATATATATTAACAATTTGTGCACGTTGACAAGGTATAGAAGGAATTCAAGCCGCAATTCAGTGTATATTACAATGATATATATAATAAAGCATATGATTATACGCGTAAGTATCAAATTCAATGATTTAAATATGGTACCAAGATATATATGGATAATCAAAAGATATGAAATTCATGCGAAAAAGCGAACGTAATAGGGAATCGATAAGCATAAGCAGTTAATAATCATTAGTCAAAAGTAATAGTCTCAAAGAAATACCTGTGTCATAAAAAATTGAACAGATAGACACACTAATCTGGAAAATATTTGGTGTGAGGCTTTAGCGCTTTGCTAAACGGAAAACACCAATGACTGAGATTACGGATATGCCCGTTGGACCAAAAGCTGTACTAACTGAACTTGAGCGTGGTAATATATGACGGACACTGTGTATTTTCAGCAAAGTTCAATTACCCAATATGCGATATATCCCCTCACCCTTAATGAAAGCATCAATTGAAATACGTAACTCTGATCCTCTAATATCGAAAATATCTTTAATTATGCGAACGTAGCAGCCGGCAACGTGGCACATCGTCTGGAGCAGTACTCATTATTAATTGCGCTTCAATTATGTAATGTTCACTTGGAATTTTCGTAATGTACCTAATAGAAAAAGAAACAAAAAAATTCTTTACAACAACTTTATATCTATCCACTCCAGCGGCACTATTCGACATTTTTGTAGATGAATGACAAACCACAAAGGCGCATGTACTGGCATTCCGGCATAAAAAGGGCCCAAACTATCCGATATTAAAGGTTAAAATGAAAAATTTGTGTATCATGAATGTACTGAAAAATGGGTTACCTCAGCCTTAAACCGCTTAAGTCACCTTGACATCTGCATCATCAAGTTTCTCTGGATTTATCATTTACAGACATTCCTGTTTGCTTTTTTTGGTGCTTGTTAAGTTGAGACCAAGCCAATAAATTTGCAACTTATATGTCCAGATAATAAACAAACAAACGGCCATGATAGCTGAAACCGATATGTTAAGTATAGTTGTAGATTGTTTAGTTGTTGAAAGTGATGTAAAAAAAGAAGTGTTGCAGACTTTGGCTGAAAACGAAAAAGGAATGTTATAAAGATAAAATAAAAGAATTTATCGTATGTTAAAAAGATAAATTCTCTTTTCTAATAAAGCAAGTTAGTTCACCGAGATGACGTACATTTTTTGCTAGAAAGACATCGAGGAGCCGCCATACAACTTGAAGAAGCCACAAGAACTTCTAATATTATCGAGCCTGTGACATCTAAAAATTACATGCTCAACGGACTCGTTAATATTACAAACTTCACAAATATCAAATGGTATATAGCACGAATCATTTTTATATATATACTTTATCATAAATGTGATCACTCATAAGTCTACAAGGAATTTTGATTTTCCAGGGATTAAAGGAAGTCTCTGACAAAGGCTTAAACTGAAATGTGGGATTTATTTTATAGAAAAGGCGATTAACTTCATCATTTAGTTGTTGAAGATGCGATTGCCAATTGCCCGTATTGCTTCATTGGGAAGAAGGATTCCTTATCTTCACCTTAATTAACTCCTTTGCAGAACAAGAAAGAGCTCTTCCGGTACCAGAAATGACATTGAGAATATATTGAGGAGTTGAGAGTGCCAGTCCAGTAGAACGTTTTAACATTCGGTTTGCAAATGTTTGTATACGTTTCATAATATATTTTGAGAAATTACAAGATGTAGAATATACAAATTCAATCTTAGATCTGACTACAGCTTTGTACATAGTCAAAGCTTTTTTGGGAGGCAAGCCTGACTGATTGTTACTGATGAGTTTGATAATATTGCATCCAGATTGACAGTCTTTGAACACTTTTTCATAATGTCCACGGTTAGGCTGTCATTTGAATTTCCTCCAAGAAATCGAAGTGGTTTCACTTGATTAACTTCAGTTCTTTTCATAAAGAACCTGTTTTTGCGTTTAGAACCTTTGGCAAAATAAATAATATTTGTTTTGCTTTGAATTAAGATCGGCGCATGCATCGAGAAAAAGCTTTTGTCGAGAGAGTATTCACACCCATTAAAAAAAGTGAACCTGCAGATACAATTAGGAAATCATCTGCTTATTGAAAAATATGAGTTTCGTCATCTTGAACATTGTGCAAAAGAGCTGTGTATAAATTGAAGAGAATGGGGCTCAAACATCTGCCTTGTGGAGTGCCACCGTATACTTCAACTTTTTCTGTACCCATTACCAACACACGCTTGGATAAAAAATGTAATGTCTGCAGACGTATTTCAAGAGGAGAGATTGAAAAGTTTAAGAGAATATTACCAAGCTTTATCAAGTTGGCACAATAACAGGCTTTGCTGATATCTAAGGAAAGCATAAGAACCATTTTACCAGTTTTTTTTTAAACTAGCTATGAGAAGAGACAGTTCATTAGAGCACATATTTGCACACATTAGCTCACGCAATGAAAAGTATGTATTGTCGAGACTACTAAAAGGAATTGAAGGTATTATGATCTGATTGATAGTTGGAATATAGGCCTTGAGCGTATCTAATTATCTTTTATTATCATGGTCATTCCACTTTGAGATGATGATAGATCGGAAGGAAGATCAACTTTAGACAGAATGTCCATAAGAAATTTACGTGAAATAAAATTTTCGATTATTTTAACGCAGTTGCTGTAACTGTGAATTAAAATGGAAGAGTGTTTTGCCAATTGAGACATTACTCGTTCTTCACATCAATGATAAAATAGTCGAATTAGAAAAAGTTAGATCCACGACACTGTTCGCCGTGCGACCACTCCGATTACAGTGGAGGATAGTATTGCCATTATTTAAAACATTAAAACTGCTGGCATTTATGATACCTCGGCATTTATCTCGGGTGAAATATAATTAGAAAATTTAACTTAAAAAAAGTTGTCGCGTTTCAGAAAAACTTCGCTTAAAATGCAGAAATAAATGGTATTCGAGTTCAAGTAAAAATCGAAAAATGGTAAGTAACGCCGAACACTTGGAATATTGTATTTAAAAACGAGATCATAATTTAAATAAAAGCAGAGCTCCAGCGAATGTATTCGTAGTACCAGGCGCTTAATCGTAGCAAGAATTAGCACAAAAAGACATTTTTTCTTCAAATTCTTAACAAGATTCTGAGCAATAATCGGACAAACAGATTCTTTAATTAATCTATCAAGTTGCAGGGAACGCAAATTGTTGTTCGACATCACTGGCCTTTGAAATCTTGTTACAGACGGCTTGGAGGGTGAATCGGGACAAGTTTTGGAAATAGCACATTTCCTTTAAACGACCGCGTTAAATTCTTTCTTTGTCAGAATCTTACTAGCATTTTCATTAGCATCCATGGCCAAAACGGCACACGAGTTCCCCAATGAAGGGAAATTCTTCTCGTGGGAATTATCATCGACACATTCGAGGAAGTTTGAATAAAACTTCTGTTTCATTCGGTATTTTTCGATTTTGTCCTTTTCTAAGTTTTACTTTTAATTTATTAAAACGCCAATGGGAACAAGAATAAATGCGAAGACCTAACCGTAAAAGGCAAAAATGAAATTCTTTTTCCAAATACAATTACATTTACAATGGTGTCTAAAAACACCTCTAGTAATTGGTCTGAAACCGTGAACGCTTCCAAAAGTTATTAAAAATATTAAATGCTTCATAAGCGCTTGAAATTATGTTACGTGTTGCACAAGAACTGAGATAGAAGAAGAAATCTTTCACATATACAACAAAAATACGCAAAATTATCTCATACGTTTTCACCTTCAGTAAGAACAAAATCCACAGTCTCCTCTTAACTGTAAATGCAAATAATATTTTAAATATTTCCAAATTATATGATCTTGTGGGATTTTTTTATCTAACAATTATCAGGAAAAGCACAAAAAATTGAAATATGTTTCAACGACAAACTGATATAATTTTTAAAATAACAACAAAAAGTTTCAGGAAGCAAGAGATATTGTTAAATTTTTTCCTTAGCATACAACGTTTCTTTCACAACAATCGGGATAATCTCCATCGGGATTTACATAGTCACCCAGTTTACAAGGAGGTGCAGCACCTTGAACACCGCATCTAAAAGAGTGAAATAATTAAACCGGGCCAGTAAACCAAAAATAAGAGGCACTATTACTTACGTTTGAATTGTGGTGTAACCCTCACCGCCACATATGACCCTAGCACAATAGTCGGTGTGACGGCGTTGTTCTCCAGCTGATAATATCAAGTTTTCGTTTATATAACATTTACCAGGGTATCCTAAATAGATACATAATATTGTTTATATGTTTAGTTTTTTTAAGCTTTTATAGCTAAGAAAAGGAACAATATTTACTGGGATCCTTATAAAATCCAGTCGATTCGGCTGCAAAGCTAAATGCGAAAATCCCACAAATTATAGTTAACTGTAGAAAGATCTTCATTTTTATTGGAGAACTGTTGATAATGAAATGATTATTCGAAGATTATAATAATATATTTACATACAATCTAAATCGTAGCAGTTTCAAAGGCAGAGAAAGAGACTTGGATTACTGATAAGAAAACATATAGTAGTATGTAGCATGTATAGTATTTATATATGTAGTTATTATAATATTTTTATAATCATTATGTGGTTTTGCATTTTTTGAGATTTTACTCACAGACGACATATGCAGTCTTTCAAAATACAAATAGAAATTATCAACTTTGTTTGCTTGCTGGATTATGCGATTTGCAATTACTAATGTTCTATCATATGCCAGCACTAAACTGCACCATGGCATTAATTGTATTTTACGGCATTTAATCTTTGTTCACCACATTTTCTTCTATGTTGTCTAAAGATTAGATGTATGTTAGTTATGTAAGCATTTTGCCCATGTATTTAGAGTAGACTCAAATGAATTCCATTTCATCATATCCAGAGTTTCGTACTTGTGCTTACACCGTTTCCTAAACGATAAATTTTAAAACAGGTGAAACCGTTCCGCCTAATTCAGTTACTCACTCGTTTTGGTAATGATACAGCAAAAGCGACATTTTATTTTTGTGCAAAATCAGACTTTCCATGAAAGCCCGCATATTAGGAAAGTCGTTACATGCGGCGGCAACCAAAAAATAGATCTACATGGTCCAAATTCGGTAAAGTTGATTTCTATGTCAATTTACTATTATGAGCCAAGTTTTATCATGGTATATTCGACCTTTCTATCATATAAAAGCTGCAGTTTCCGTAAGAAAGGTTATATGAGAAAGGGTTCAAGAAATTGACCTAGCCAAGAATGCCAAGATACTAGTTCGCAGGCACTTTTGACGAGAAATTTTGAAAATTGTAATTTTTTTCCATACAACGACTTTTCAGATTAGGACGTTATGAGGGGATGGTCAAAAAGGTGAACCGATCCAAAACATTTTCAATAGCGTTCTTCCTTGGGCGAAAATACGTTTGTGTACTAAATTTCATGAAAATGCTTTAAAAATTACAACCTGTAACTTGAACGGACATTAGACGGACAGAGGGACAGACGAACTTAAATCGATATAGAAAATAATTCTGAATCGATCGGTATAATAAACGCTGGGTTTATCATAAGCCCTTCGAGGTGTTACATATGTTCGCACTCACTTAATGTATAATGCAGCAATAATGCTATAATCGGTGCATTTGTGTTATCTCAGAGATTTATTTCACTCGTTTCACATTTCAATCGTTCTCGTGTCAAAATAAATGAACATAATTAAATAGCCGCCAACCATCTTCATAACGGTGATCATGCAGGTGGCGTGATTCTAGCGAAGTGTACTATTGGACTCAAAATTTTAAACATCTTCAGAATATCGCTTTTACAAGCTTAAATTTGCGTACTTTATTTTCTTCACCGGTTTTCATTAAGATGTTATGATTATAATGATTTCTTCAGGCATTCCGCCGCAAAATTGATTGTCGGAGGTGAGTTTACTTTATAACGTCCACGTATATACATGCAGGGGGTTTCTGTCAGTCGCCTTTTTCTTTTCTCTTTACTAAAAGAGTAGTGTTACGCATAATAACGGGATTCCGTTAATCAAGATTTCTTTCCATTATTCTCCGCTCAAATAGTAGCGTCATTTAAAGAGAGAATTGTGAAAAGAGAACGAAGTCCAAACTTAGTCTGTATAGCACGACGTTGGGTGTTGGATTAGCAAATGATTACAGGAACAAGAAAGAATACGAACGAGACAGAAAAAAATTGGCAATTAGGAGTAAAGGGCAGCCTGCAGATGCAGAATCTCGATGAAGTCAAGTGTGTTTGAACGGAGAAATTGACTGATTTTTTCCAGTTAAAAGAAACAAAACTTTTTGATTGCCGGAAAAAGGTCGTTGACACGATAATGGAAGGTCTCTATAAGTAAGCTAAAAGCAAAACTACGCAATTTTCCTTTAACGACCGGCCGTGCAATTCCCAAAACGTATATACTTATAAAAAAAAAGAGAGAGATACAAAATTTGATTCGCATATACGTACATGTACGAATATAGACCTAAAATTGTGAGTAGTTTACAGAGGCTTTTAAATGTTTTATGACTTCTTGGTAATTTACGTTTTTCTAACGATTGAACGGATTACAGTTTACGCTTTGATAAGAATTTGAAAAGACTTTCCGAGACTGATACAATACAAGATTTTACAAGTCTTTTTCAACAAGCCGGTTTTATATCTAATCCCAAAAATTTTTATAAGTCTAGATATAATAACAACTGGAAATAAGGTAAATGTTCAGAAATATGAGCAAATAAGAAAGCAATAGCAACGTAGTAGGTGATTTCCAGATAAAAATAATTTAAACAGAGCTACGAAGAGCCTGCGAAAAAGTCTACCTGAGATAAGAAATGATCAATTAACAATTTATTAAACAGCACCAAGTCGGGTATGGTTGATGAACATTACTTATGGAGAGCAACCATATATCTTGAACGACCGATCGGACGAATTGTTCCCCTAACTCTAATTAGACGACAATGCGTCCTTGGGTCACATTTGAAATTCGAACTTAAGTTTTTTTTCATTTCATATCGCATTTGCAAATATATATGGCCTGTGCATGATATTTTATGATTTGTTTGGATATATTTATCAATCTCATAAGTAACTAAAAGACACGTCGTGATGTTATTCGTTATAAAAACGCATGGCACGACTAGGGTTACTGGCAGCTTTTTTTAAAATAATTGAAAGAATATCGAATCGCGTTTCTTCGAAATATTTTGTCAAAAAGAGAGAAGTTCGGAAATACATCATATACTGGATATTCAATTTTGAAATTAATTTACTTTTGTTTCTTAAATTATTTCAAACTTGTATAATTTCTTTTCTCTTTTTAAACATCATAAGCTCTAGTTGTTAGTCACTAATATATTTACTTTTTTTTTGCTAGATTGTAAATAAAATATATAAAAAATGTTAATGTTACAATTATTGAACTCGCTCTGCGTAGAAAACAAAAGAAGTTCGAAAACTGATAACAATTTTTTCTAGTGGGGGACGGGCGCTGGCCACCAGTGTATTTTATGTGTTTACTCCATAAGTTGGATTTCAATTCATGCTTTTAGAAACAACAGCCTGCAAAAATGCAGTCAGTAAAAGTTTTCTCGCTTTCAGTTCAGAAATGAACATGACTACAAGGAGCAACGTACTCGCTTTGGAATGAAGAAAGCCTCCGATTAAGTCTGGCATTATTAACTACTTTTCAAACTTAAAAAAAGTTTCTCCCATTCTAAAGTATTTACCACTTAAGGGAGTAGACCATTTAAACATTTTCAAAAAGGCAATTTTCTTTTTATTAATTTCGACACCAAAGTCAAGAATGACATAAAAAGACAATCACAATAGAGGCAAAATTTTAAATGGCCAAAGAATTTGAACTTTCGAATATAAATCTACACTTGACAGTTTAAAAGGGTTTTACTCAAAACGCGGTATATGAAAACAGTTTTCATTTTTTATTGACATATGCAAAATATCTTCAAAACAACACTCTCTAGTGAAACACGTGGGACGTATTCGACAAGTTAATCTAACATCTAAAGAACGTCTTTTTTTAGCTAAAAATTGAAATTTTCCATTCAAATACACGTACAATCATAAAAACAACAATACTTTTAAGGAACCATCAGAAATATAGAGGTAAATCGATATTTTTTTCTACTTGCCGAAGAGCTCTTGCCTCGCGCTCCTGCGTTACCAATTTTTAGCATTTTTTTCAATACGCTAACGACCTGCCTTGCGTCTTAAATACGTGTCAAAAGAACGCAACGCAAAATACAACGACGTAACGTGAATCACTGCTTTGGAGGAGAGGAAATCGTATAAAAATCAATGATACGTTCCCTCATTTGCGTTTTCAGTTGGTGTATAATATTTAAATAAAAAAAATACATAACAGAACTCCGCGACTTTTTTCCACTAGATGGTTTTGATGTCTATATATCAGGCAACGCCCGACGTCAAAAATACACATCGTTGTGGTCGGCCAGTCACTGAAAAGTCGATGAAATTTTGCGACTGGTGGAGGAAGACTAGCACGCAAGATGTCAGGAAATAGCGGAGGCACTAAACATTAACCAAATGAGAGTTTGGAATCGTCTGAAATGAGCAGGCTACAAAAAGAAGCTCAAAAGAAGACCAAAAAACCGCGGGGAGGTTTGGCATCACATATTTTGTACATATTTGTACCAAATATTTGTAAAAATTTTCATTTCATTATTAAAACAAAATAACTAAAAAAAAAAAAAATTTTGTACAACAAAAAAGGATAAGTTCGTTGAAACTTTTCCCACAATCTGCTGAACAGACTTTTTTTATTTCTAAATAAACTTCTTTGTAGCATTCAACATTGGAAGTTACTGCCCATTCATTTCGTAAGAAATGCTTCACCAATTAAACTCATGGCTTTAGAAAGCTTTTGTTATGGAAAACTCCGTTGCCTTTCTACTTGGGTGTCTTTTCTATCAGCACATTGAATGTCAAGATTCATTGATTTTTCATTAGACAATTCGTAGTTATCGGCAGTTAACTATTCGTCTACGTAAGATTTATTCATTTCTTCAAAATTTTTCTCTCTAGCTAACACTGCGATTTATTCAAGAAAAGTAAAAGTATGATCAATTAATAAAATTGAAGAATCCTCTTTTTTTCTTTTGTACACATTCTGGCCGCAATTTATGCCACGCACCGTTTATGCGAGATGAGTTAATCCCAAGCCATCATTAATAACTCTTATTGCTTGCATGACGTTAATTCTTTTTCAAAACTATTGCATTGTAGTCTTATCTGGTCTATCGGATTTACTTAAAATCAGTTTAAATGTCCTTCGCAATTAAAAAAAAAATAATGCAAAACGAAAACCAACCGCAATTCAAGTACTTTGAAAAAACTCAAAGTGACATTATACCAAGATATAAAATCCAATCATATTAATGCTTAAAATAAATATAATATGTATGCAAACAA